AGCTGTGCTATCACATGACAATTTGGCAGAGAACCAAGGCTCCAAGACCTGAAGGCAGCCTTTCCTCTGAAATCAAACACCTCATCAACAGGCACCTACACAAGTGACACTGCCCACAGCTGGGGTTCCAGCTGCTGCTGGCCAAAGCCACTGGCTGTGTTCACAGGCTCAGTAAGCATTTCCTGTTGCCCTCTGCATCTGTAAATTCCCTGGGAAGATCCCATCAGCCTGACTGAAGGACGAGGCCAGTCAGCAACCCCTCACGGCCGCACTGATCACCTGAGCATCTCATTCATCTGGGTGAGCTTCTTAGCCATTTCGGGATGGTCAGGTCCATGTTTGTGCCCACAGTGGTCCACACCGAGGAAGTGAGCAATCAGCACGTCCCATTCACCACTGTCCACTGCAGAACAAGAGCAGCCTTATCACACACCAGCGTGAGATTCCACGTCTGGATCTTCCTGCCAAAGCCTTCTGGTTGCCTCTGAACACTGCTGTTTCTTCCCCTCCTGGCACTGTCACTGCCAGCTCTCAAGCAGACCAATGTAGATTTTAACTCAGGCATAGTCTTGGCTGCAGGTGTCTGGGTGCATCGGCACATGAAGCTCAAAGCCTGGCCAGCACCCCAGTATCCCTGGTTTTCCTCACCACCCTTCAAGAGCAGAATGGCCCAATGTCACCCAAGTCAATCTGAAACACCCTTATCTCAAGCTGCCACAAACTGAGCTAAATCACAGGGATGCTCAGGAAAAAGGAGAATCCAGAACTCAAGTTGACCCCTGAAGACATTTCAGGTCAGACTCATTGATGTGCCCCTCTGTAGCCCACCCAGGATACAGGCCTGGCATACCAACACTGTCCCTAGCTAGAAAGTTACTCTGGCCTCTCCCCTCCGCTTCAAGGCCTTGATACATGAAGAGAACCAACATATTTGCAGTTAGATGCTGAACTGCAGCTCTCGCACAAGGACTTCCCTGTGAAAAGCCACTGCATCCTTGATTCACGTAAATTCATACAAAGATAAAGGAAAGGCCATTTTCCTCAGTTTGGGGACCTCAGGGAGGTAGAAATCACTTAAAATTCACAAACTAATCTCACACTCCACCTTCTTTCCATGACTAAGAGGTACTGATGCTTTGCTGAGAGCAGTGCTGTGTCCCAGCCTCTCGACTTGTGCATTTCCCAGAGCACTGTGTGCCTGCCTGGGCAGCCACATGTCAAAGTTAAGCTGCTCCTCCTGCTCCATCCTGCCAGTGTGTTTCTAGACCAGATGAAGCAGTATAACCTCATCCCAGCAAGCTGAACTCTGTCCTGAACAGAGATGAGGTATTTACAGAAATGGTAATCTGTGGAAACTGAGCTAGAGAACTGTAATCCCCGAGCAGCCATGGCAGACTGCCCAGTGCCACTATGAAACAGAAAAAACTTTCAGTCCTACCCCAAACCTTCAATAGGATTCCCACATAATGTCAAGAGTTATCCACACCCTGGGGAAAGAACTGCTTACCAGTCGGATAGAGATGCTGCAGGATCCCATCATCCACAGTGTGAAGATCCTTCACGTTAAAAGAAGGGAAGAAATATGAGCGGAAAAATTTCTTCGGGAAGAGTCCTTCCCATGTGTCATCGCCCATGAAGACCACTCTCCTTCCTAAGCCAGAGAGAAAGGAACTAGTGAGAGGTGGAGTCCACCTGAGTCATGCTGTTACCCATAACAATGCAAAGAGCCTGAGCAGATCCAGGTCCGGGTCTGAAGCACTGTCTCCCCTCCAACTCAAAAGTGATCTGAGGCCTATGAC